TCTGTTTAACTGTAAATTTGAAGTATATGATATCTTACAGACAAGACAATTATCGATACCAAAGAAATTAAAGAAATCTTATCCTTCATGAATATCTCCAGTTAAGTAGATGCTTGCTTAAGTGATTTTTTGGGACATAAATGAATATGTAATAAAATACTACCCTTACCACAAATGAGTACTTTTTTGTTATTCATTTGCTTTATTTTTTATCATGGTAACACTGGTTTATAACACTGCATGCGCTGTAGAAGTATAGGATCACAGCCTTCGGGTGTATGTCACCAAGTCACACCAAGGGCTATGCCACAGGTATAGTGGGAGCTGAGCAGGGGAAGCTGCCCTGGGAAATGCCCTGGGAGAGCAGCATGGTCTGGAGGCAGCTTCTGGATGGACAGCTGAGCTAGGCAGGGCCTCCCTCTTGGACCTTCAGAGCCCTAGCTAGGCATTAACAATGAATGGAGAAAAAAAAAAAAAAAAAAAACTAGTGTCTTGTCATTCCTTGAGTATCTGCTGTGAACCATTCTCTTCCACCTTGACATGGACAAGCAAGGTTCCACTGAAATTCTCCTTCCATACTGAATACATCTACAGTTTCATTTGGCAAGCAGTTTAATCTCTCCATGTTCATTTTTAAAGTGGAGATAATAGCTACCCTATAGTGTTGTAAAGGTTAATGAAATACATGTAAAGTGTTTATTATAGTAACTGGTAACTGACAAGTGCTTAGACCATCCATTTTAAATCTATTCCACTTGCTTCTCTAATGGAGCAGGCCATCTCTGGTGCCTAATGTATAGCTTATGTTTTACGTGCTCAAAGCAGATAGGCAGGAGATACTCATAGGCCCAGAACTAGTTTTCTAGAATTCTTTAATCTCCCTTCCAGACTACCCCTTTCTGCCTGCAAGATTAAGAATGACAAAGCCTTCCAAGGAAGTGTTTTTGAGGCTAGGACTCAGGACACAAGGCAAGTAGAGAGATCCGAGGCCATCTCATTCAGGAATAGTCTCTTGCTGGTGTTCTGGGTGATTCATGGACCACAGCTGGACTCCTGTCTGATGACTTGGCAGCGTCGGGACCAGAATACTGACCTACTTTGGATCCTTGTCACCACCATGGGCAGATTTCCCTCGGCTGGTGTGTTTCCAAAGGTGAATCAAGAGGATTGATTGGTCATCAGACTTGGCTAGAAAAACATGGATGTGTTTGGGAAGGAGCCTGCTCTACGTTTGTTTCTGGGTACAGGGCAGGCAAAGTCCCACAGGCAGGAAGTATGTCTCATGAGGACAAAGGAGGCTGGAAGTTGAGCAGATGCTTTCAGAAGTCCTGATCTGAGATGATCTGAGATCAGAGCTTCCTCTAGATGCAGCCCGATGCATTTCTCAGAAGGCAGGAGTCTCCCTGGGCCTTGCCCTGGGGCTACTTGTACAGCTTGCCCTTCAAAAAAATCCACAAATGTGGATTTTCTTGTAAATATGCAAACTGACAGTATCAAGCACAGCGCTGTACTATTTTTTCTAGCTTACTTTACGTGAAGACACTGTATAATGCATGTAACGTACACAGTAAGTGCTCATTTGTAACAGACATTTCCATAAAAGGGCAAGGTACTACATTCCCCACCCCACTTAAATAGGGGAGGAGCCGAGCAGCCAGAAGTTATATAACCTGGGAGGCAGGTGGCTCAGGGCACAAGGGCACGCTTGCTTCTTGGCAGTTTTGGACTTGCACCAGGGACTTGGGGGACCAGGAGGAGAGACATGTAGAGACACTTGGGAAAAGATGTGGGTGAGGGATGTGTGGGAGGCTGACAATGGCAGCTGTTTATTTGTGCTTTGATTCTGCTCCTCTTGTCCCAGACTTGTCTGGCCCCATTTGCTCCCTTCCCATTGTTCACTGCCAGAGGCGCCTTAGACTTGTGGCAGGCTTTCAGGCCTCAATGGCCCTGCTTCGAGCCAACCCTGTTGGACTGTGGATTTACCCAAGAGGGGTTGGGTAACTTTGGGCATTTTACTGGGAAACTATTATCCTTTCTTCTCTCTCTCTACACCATAATTTAATAGAGTTCTCTATACTAAGTGTTGCTTTGTCTTAAGCATACAAATTGGCAGATCCTTAGGAGTTTGCAAGTTTGGGGGTTCTGAGGTCCCCCTTGGTTGTGTGCTAACACATTGACTACTATGCTAGGGCTCTGGTCAACAAGTAGGCTACTAAGTTTTGGAGGAGTCATGCATTACCCATGATTTTCTGTTGCATTGAGGGTTAACCCCTCCTTGCTACCCCCATGTAATCCAAGGATCAACTACTCTTGCTTCAGCTTCCTGCTGGGTTGTCAAGGATGGGTGGCGGTGTCCTGCCCACAAATAGAACCTCACTAAGCATTGCTGAACACGTGCAAAGTCACTAAGGCAGAAAGAAGCAGAAACTTGCTAGCGGTTTAGATGTACAAATAGTTGAGTCCAAAGGCCGATTTCAGCAGGTCTGCTGGGGCAGCTGCAGTCAGGATCAGCTTCTTCCACCAGCCTCTAGAACAGCCCTTCAGGAATTCCTGCCTACTTGTCAGAGTAGCTCCTGGAGCACAAACCCCCTTTGTACAGGGGGTCTTGGGCACCCTGCCCTTCAGTGTCTGGGTCCAATTGGCCTCCTGAGACATTGGCTCACCATCCTGATCCTCCGCTTAGACTGGTGGATCTAAGAAAGTGCTGGGTCTTCTGATGCCTTGGCCCAAAGCTGTCCCTCCATACATCCGAGAATCACCAGAAGCCTCTAAGGATCATGGGGACTCATGAGTTTTCTTGTGTGTATTGTGCAGGGAAATTTTGGGAGGTACCTAAAAACTAGTTAACATGCCTCCACCTCCCTATAGTTTCCTAGTTCCAGCAGCTCCTACTGTCCCCTCACCAACATGGTACCCTGACCTTCTCCCCTCCATCCACAGGGCTCACATGCAGACATGTCCTCACTAAGCAGAACCTCTTGAAGTATCCTCTGGTGACCTACCCAGGAAGGGGGTGCCCCCTAGAACTACAATGACTAAAGTCTTCCTTCCTGCTAACCTTACTTCCCTGAAGTCTTGGTTGGCCTGGGCATGTTTTGCCCCTAATGAGGAACTTCCTGTCACTGTGGGTGCTCCTCACACAGCAGCCCAGCTCACTCACAGCCGTGTGTTGGCCTCCTAGCCAAGCTGCTCTCACTAGGAATCCTCAGGCTCTGCCCCAGGCTTACTTCAAAGGAAGGGGGGGCAATGGAAGCCAGATTCCTGGATTGGGAGGCACCCGAGGGTGACTAACATCCCTGGGGCCCACAGATCTCTGGCATTTGCTTTTAGTGATCCCCTTGCTAAAAGGCTAAGGGCTATGCTTCCTGCTCAGTGACAACAGAGGCGAGTTCTGAGCAATCCCCTCACGCAGGACCAGTCACTGAGACCATTACCTCAACACAGCTGCCCCAAGTCCACTGTAGCTCCCAGCTCACTGGGCAACAGTAAAGTTCATGTCAGAGGTTACCAAAGGGCCCCAATGACCCCAAAATATAAAGTACTCCAAAGCAATTGTGTCTTCCCACCAATCAGCACAGAGAATTGCTATTTCCTCTTTGCCTTTTCACAAGCTGCAGCCCAGGCTGGGCAGGCGGAGGCAAGTTTAGTCCTAAGCAACTGCAGCCGTTGCTAGAGGAGTGGGCCCAGGACAAAGGCAGAAGATGTTCCACGATTTAATCAGTGATGAGCAACACACCTCATTTTTTTGCAAATGTAAATAAAATCCAAATCCGGCTTAAAGCAAAGACTTTCATTGCTTTGAGACTACAAGAAAAGCCTTACAAATATTGGACAAAAGCAAGGGGAGGTCTGCGGTCTGGAGGTATACCCTGCTCTGACGGAGCCAGTCATGCCTTGCCCCCCAGTAGTGTAGGGCAAGGCAAGGGGTCCCCAAGAATTCCCTGAAGCTCCTAGTGGGGCTTGGAGGATTAAGTGTAGGCCTGGTTTGTCCTCGAATTATCTTTCTGGTATCCCTATGCCTGGATTCTAAAACTACCTTCGAAGAATTCCTTGTCACACTTTGACAACAGTGGGCTTGTCAGTGCTCAAGGCTGTCTAGAGAACTTACTAGGGGAGACCAGGCTTGATTTGCGTTTTCGGTTGCACATCAGCACAGCTTTCTAGTTTAACAGAAACTTCTTTGAAATTAGTCAAAATTTATATTTTGATTTTAAGATTATCCTTGAAAATTCCATGTATTGCTGAGTAGAAATTTATGTGCCCTCTTGAAAGCTGGCAATATATAGTAAAATTCCTAAGAGAAGATATGGCCTGTTACCCTCCAGTTCCATTTGTAGGAAATTTCCCTCCAGAATAACCTAATTTAAACTTATGACACAAACATCCATTCAACTTTTATTACTAGTAAGTGAAAAACTGGAAAACTAAATGTTAAACAAAAACATGGGAAATAAAGCATGGTGCATTTATACAACAGACAATGCAGCTAACCAACAGGCCAAGTTAATTAACAGGGAAAAAGCAAAGGAGAAAAATAAAGTATCTACTTAATAGTGAATATGATCTTTACATGTATTAATTTCCCATTCTCTTTAGACCATACCATCCATTTTTAGCCTATTTATAGCTTTTTTTCCTGTATATACATCCCCATAGTCTACCATTTTTCATTTTTTTTCTAACTACCACAAATAAAAATAGTGATTCATTCACTTTCTCCTTGAGATGTCTCTAACAGAGAAGCTTGTCTACTTTTAGTTCAGTTCTAGCTAAAGAGGATGGGGTTGAAAGACCTATCTTGAGGCTTAAGTTTAAAGGGTCTAAAAATGTGTGTCTTGTAATTAGATATAAATGCTGCAATGGAAAGTCTTCACGGACAAGAGCACATGAAAAATGGTGCAACTTCTTTTAGAGTATTTAGATACTTTATTTTTATAAAAAACTTAGGTCCATGCTTTGAAAGTGATTTTTCCTCTCTTTAGAGGGGTCTGTTACCTCATCAGTCCACAGTTCTATTTTCCATATCTTGTCTTCTCCTAGAAGCCTGCTGTATAAGTTTTCTGAGCATGTTAGTAAAGAAACAGAAGGAAGGAGGAGAAAGGGGATTTTAATAACCGAGTTGCTTCTTCCTCACCAGTGAAGAAACTATTCCAGAGCTCTCCACAGCTTCTCCCCAGTCTGGGCGGAGTCTGGAAGTTCAGTACAGACCTCTGTCCTTCCAGTTCCCTGCCTTTAGGATACTTGTCTTTGCGCCCATCTCAGAAGATTTTCTTAAGCCTCTCCCTCATTTCTATACCCCTTCTTAAATGTAGTTCTAGATATTTTTTCCTCCGGAACACAGGAGTCATACTGTGTCAGCTTGTTTTTAGACAAGAGTGCTGCCATCTCCATGCATCTAGAGCTCAGTGGTGCCCCCACTCCCTACAACCCCCACCTCAACACCTTGAGATGCAGAGGGTTCAGCAGAGAAAGATGCCCGAGCTTGGTGTGATGGGGATCAGGGAGGTGTGTGCTGGGGAAACGTAGCAAAATAGCCCCATATTGCATAGCTTTGGGCATAGCCACCACAATCCTCAGCTTCAGGACATAGGTTAGAAGTGGGCTTGTGCACACCCCTCACATGCTCTTTCTTCATATACTTCTCAGCAAAGGTTTAGTCTGATGTTTTTCTCTACTCCCTGGGAGCACACATGGGCATGCTGACAATTCAGTCTTACCCACGGCTCTCAATCTATTTCTCCTACCATCTAAAACATATCCCCTCTCCACCTAGACTTTATCATACCCTCTTAAGACCCCTCTTTGCAAGTCTGAAGAGAGGAGAGCAGGACAAACACCAAAGGAAACCTCCAGGTTACCTACACATTCAAGTCTTCAGTTCCCCAAGGGCTGGGGCGAGGCCCAAACCTGGTGGCGGCTGTGTGTGGCGCCTAACTTATGGGAAGTACACCAGAGCAGCTCATCGATTTTTGTTTTAACCTTGACTGTTTATTTAAAGTGAGCTGGCATCAAATGTTCTATTGATAGCAGAATTCTAATTTGGGATTAGTAGCAGCCTAAAACGTCTAAGCCATGAGGGATGACTGAGGCTTGACGCCCTCCGGCAGTGGCATTCTCAGAATGTGAAGCACACCTCCCCCACAGCCTTGAAGCTGCATGGGTCATTGATGCGCTGGGAGGAATACGCCATAAAGGGTTCAAGTCAAGTGTCCCTGGAGCTAACTGAAGACAAACACGTAAACTCAAGGTGTTTGCAATGAAAGTGACTTAGTGTTTCAATTTATGCTTAGTATTTACCTATATCATTTCTGGGTAGGGTTGTAGATAAACAAGTTTGTCTTCACACAGGTTTATTAATTCATAGAAAACTGCTATGAATTTGAATAATAGTGATCAGATCATACTTGAATTTGGAGCGGATGATCCTGATTCAGTTTACAGTCATGCGAACTTCTCTGCATTTTTGGTAGCAGCTCCATCCTGCTTGTAGTGGACATGGGTATGGCTTACAGAGAACTCCCTGTGCCCATGCAGAGGGGGTCACACATGAAGACCATAAACTTTGAAGTGGAAAGGATTTAAGTCATCTAGTACATCACCCTCAGTTTGGATAGGGAATGAATAAAACAAAAAAAACTATGCCTATTCTGGGAACACTAAATAGAAGCAACCTAAATATACCTCCAGAAATGCACAAGGGCCAAAAAATGAGCAGGCCTGTGTTGCAGCTGCAGCGAAGCTGAGACTTTCAGATCAATGGGATCTGCTTACATTTCAGAGACTTCTAGAGGTAAAATAGAGGCCACTCCATCTTAGACTTCAATTTTTAATTCTGGACAAGGTTCAGGAGACTTATAGTGCCCTTAAGGTGACTTTTTTGGAAAGGAAGTTGTGCCTCTAGGAAAAATAAGCACTGCCATTTAAATCCTATTGATAGACAATGTGAGTTGCTCCCTAAATCCAAGTGGGAGGTGGAGAGTGAATGAAGGACTCTGGTGAGGCTCTGACATAGCTGTCACATAGGCACAGACAAAATAGCAAATACATATGCTTCAACGTCTAATGAAGACAGTAAGTAGAATGAAGGAATAGAAATATATTTGTAGGTCATTTATGTGATGAGGTCTTTTATCTAAAATCCTTGACAACTCAATCCAACTGAAAAATAAAGACAATTAAAAGAATGAGCCAAAGAGGGCCTCCCTGGTGGTGCAAGGGTTTAAGACGCAATCTATAGCTATCAAAGACACTGCAGCACGAGTTCTATCCCCAGCCAGGAAGATACCCACATGGTGCAGCAGACTTGACTCTCCTGCTACTCCCCTCAGCAATGTATTTCAGTCAATCTGCCTGTTCTGTTCCCCACTCTGTGAATCCTCTCACTCCCCCCACTTCTGGCCTGTACCCCAGTTCTTGTATGCATAAATAAATCTTAAAAAAAAAAAAAGAATGAGCCAAAGACTTTATGGACACCTCACCAAAGGAGATACACATAAACTTCATACAGGTGACAAATAAGCATATGAAAAGATGCTTTACATCATATATCTGAGAAATGCAAACTAAAACAGTGAAATACGGCCATATAACATCAGAATGTCCAAAATCTAGACCACTGTTAACACCAAATGCTGAGGATGCTTAGTAGAAACTATTGCTTGTGGAAATGCAAAATGGTATATCCAATTTGAATGATAGCTTGGATGTTTCTTGATCCAACCTATTCTTACCAGGTGATCCAGGAATTGTACTTCTTGGTGTTTATCTAAAGGAGGTGATTACTTAGGTCTTTATAAAAACCTGCAGTAGATGTTTATTAGCAGTTCTATTTGTAATTGTCAAAAATTGGAATGTCAATCAAGATGTCCTTCAATCAGTGGAGAAATGAACTATGGCCCATCTGGACAATGCAGTAATATTCAGTGCTAAAAAACGAGCTGGCAGTCCATGAAAGAACACAAAAGAATCTAAAATACATATTAGTAAGTGAAAGAAACCAATATGAAAAGGCTAACACTATTGATTCCAACTCTGATATTCTGGAGTAGGCAGAAGGAAGCAGTAAAAGATCCATGGTTACCAGATGTGAGGGTGGGGAGGGGAAAAGGACATGAATAGAAAGTATAGAGGATTATTCGGGCATTGAACATGCTATATAATTACATCATGTATTTGCCCAATACCATAGAATGTACAACACCAAGAGTGAACCCTGGGGGTCTCCCTGGTGGTGCAAGAGGGTTAAGACGCAATCTATGAAGATATCCGCAGCCACTGCAGCACAAGTTCGATCCCCGGCCAGCCAGAAAGTAACCCACATGGCGCAGCAGATCTGTCTCACCTGCTGCTCCCCTCAGCAGTGTATTTCGGTCAATCTGCCTGTTCTGTTCCCCACTCTGTCTCTGGTGAATCCTCATCCCCTGCACCTCTGGCCTGCACCCTAGCTTTTGCATGCATAAATAATCTTAAAAAGTGAGCCCTAAGCTGAACTACAGGCTTTGAATAATTTTGATGTATAAATATAGTTTCATCCTTGAAAGCGTGTCATTCTATTGAATGATGTTGATAATGGTAGAGGCTCTGCCTGTGTTGGGGCCAGGGTTATAAGGGAAATCTCTTAATTTCTAACCCCCAATGCCCTAATAGTTTTCAAAAATGGGCAAAAAATCTGAGCAGACATTTCTTCAAAGAAAATATACAAATAGCCATCAATCTCATGAAAAGATGAACATCAAGAGATTATTAGGGAATGCAAATTAAAACCACTATGAGATACCACTTCACACCCACTATCAAATCAATAGAATATTAAGCGTTGGTGAGTATGTGGAAAAATTAAGAAAACCTCACTCTGCTGGTAAAACTGTAAAATGTATAGTCACCTTGGAAAACAGTTTGGCCATTCTTCTAAAGGTTAAGCAGTTATTATATGACCCAGCAATTCTATTTCTAGGTATGTACCCCAAAGTGAAAACATTGTACTTGCATAATGAAATGAAAAACTTCTACATGGATGTTTATAATGGCATTAATAGCCCCAAATAGAAATTCCAAATCAACTGATGAATACAGAAACAGTATCTGTGGAGTCGATTATTCAGCCATCAGGAATGAAGTGTTGGTACATGTTATAGCATTTATGAGCCTTGATGAACCTTGAGACTTGAACCTTGAAATGATGCCAAGTAAAAAGCCATACACAAAAGACTTATATGTCCCATTTATGGGATGTCTAGATAGAAATATAGAGTTGAAGTAGAATAATGGTTCCTAGGGATAAAAGTAAGGAAGAACTGGGGTGTGAGGGGTGACTATCTCATGGGTATGAAGTTTCTTTTAGGGATCATAAAAAGTCTTCTAAGATTGGTTTGAGGACTATGAGTATAATAGGTGAATTGTGTGGTTTGTGAGTTCTCATACTCTTAATATTCATGCTTTTTACAATCTAAGTTTATTCTGAACTATGATCACATATCATTGGTATCTTATGAAATAGTGATGTTTCTTAGAAAAATAGTTTACTGTGTGTGGCATCACAGGTGACAAGTTTTTCATTTTTTGACTGGTTTTTATGAAGTAAAGTACCAAAGTTGGCATAAAAAGTAAACTAGATTGAGATTTTTGCAGAATTTAACAAGTCTTTCAAAAGTTATTTCATATACCAAATAACTAGACAAATCCAGGTTTACTTTCATAATGTCTTCCTTCCATTTGATGCACAGATCTATTATGAGTAGACCGATTTGAAAGTTAATTATTTTAGTTTTATTTTTAATACATGTCCTAAATAGTTCACAGCAATAAAAATATTTTGTATAATAATTTTATGTTAAAGATGTTTCCTATTAAAATCTAATTCAAGATTTTATTTACATCGTATGTGTTTTTAAAGTAAGTTTCTCATTTGAATCCAGATAGGCTTTACTAGCATAAGGTGATGAAAGGTATTTACACAGATAGTGAAGAAAATACACAAGTATCTCAAATTTAGGCAATTGATGTTGAATTATCATTAAATGAATTTTGACAGTCTGCCATTAACTTACACTAACTAGAAAAATTATATTTGAGTATCTATTTTAAATTATCTTGACATTTATGGCAAGTTTCTTCAAAAATATTTTTCATTTATGTCAAGAAACTAAACAAAAGGAGTGGCAGAAGAAAAAAAAAAATCAACCAGGTTTTTAAGATGACTAGTCTTTCAGACCAGATGTTCAGTTCATCTACTGACTGCCATGTATGTCTTAGCCCTTTGACATTCTTACAGTATTTGTCTACAAAGCCCATTAAATTATAATAAATGGTGACTGATCTAGATCTAAATATTCCAGCTCATGCCTCCGGAGGCCCAGTGTCGGGGAGAGTAAGCGGGAGTTTGCATGACAACTCCATAGTGGTATTGTCATGTGGCCTGGGACCACCTGCTTGGCTCACTCATGCATGGGCAAGCCTGCTCACATGGTTCTATCAGTTCTGCCCCTCAGCCAAGTACAAGCTATCTACACCATGGTTCTTCCTGTGCTACAACAGCCAAAACAAGTCTAGCCTAGGAATGCTGTGAAAAGTGGTTACAGATTCCAGCAGGAGTCCTCAGCTCTTCTCCAAGAATGTCTTTCCCCTTTTCTATGTCTACTTCCTTTAAATGCCCAAATAGGGAAAAGCTGCAAAAACAGGGCGCCATTCTTATCCTATGGTGAGTGACTTTCTGCAGTATAATTGCTTCTTTTTCTTTTAAAAGTTAGCATATCTACCTCTTCCCAAAGATACCTAGAGGTGGAAAACAACCTCAGCAGGACTCATGCCTGCTGCCAACTTCTATCCTCATGTAGGAAGAGTCTCAAGAACAGTTTTATCAAAGCCACCTGGGACAAGGTTATAATGATCAAGCTTAACACCTTAAGATGAGTATTATATACATTTTTCTAAGTCACTGACCGGTTTAATCAGGATGATTTATCCTGAGTACAGGTCCACAGATACAGAAGAATACATCTGGTATGCTCCCATTTATAGTGTCCAGAATGACAACTTTCTAGAGATAGAAGGTAGCTTTCCAAACACATGCCCTGATTTGCACTATTTTCCAGTTGCTGTGGTTTAAATGCAAACTATGACTCACTTCAAGTTATCGATATGTCACTGAACTTGAAATTGGGACATAACAAGTGCTCATGAGCTTACAGGTGCCAGCTTTATTACACACCCCTAGCAGTGTGCTAAAGTTTTATATCACCCAGTTCAGCAGTTACAATGCCGAACGACTACATTAGGAGTAGTTGGTGAGCCAGCAAAACACCTTAATCTTAGCTGCTGACTGTGGTCCTCAGGACTCTCATCCCTAGTCTGTTTCCCAGGTGTTCATCACCCTGGGCCTATCAGAGAACCAAGGAGCTGATTGGCAAAACCTTGTTCTCACTTGAAAATCCAACTAGTAGAGTGCAAGACTCCCTTTCTATGTGGCTTTTTAATACATTCTGACTCTCAACATGTCTTGAAACCTTATCTTTTCCTGTCTCTGCTGTAACTCTTTTCCAACACCCCCTGCCATGTTGGAAGCACACTGCTCTGCTCACACTCTGGCCACTCAGCATTGAATCCCAGCCGCTTCCCTACTCAATGCCACGAGGGGTTATTCATTCATTCATTCATGCACTGGGTAAAGTGAGAAGCACAGAAGGGTGAGAGAATTCACTAGAGCCAGAGCGGGGAACAGAACAGGCAGACTGACGAAGTACACTGCTGAGGGGAGCCGCGGGCGTGGCAGGAGAGGTCTGTGGGCCATGTGGGACCCTGGCCCGGTGGCCGGGGATTGAACAGGTGCTGCAGAGGCTTTGGGCAGCTTCGCAACCCAGCGTTCAACCGCTGCACCACCGGGGAGGCCCCACGAGGGGTCTTTCTAAAACTGTCAGCGCCCCAGTGATCCGTGCCTGCTCACCACCCACTGCCTCTCCTGCAGGTACTCATCTGCTCTGGCACCTTTGTCTCTACCTTGAACATGTTTTCCTTTCAACCTGTCTGTTACCTTTCCTCCTTCGAATCTCTGCATCAATATTTTAAAAGTCCTGCTCTGGGCCTCAGTCAGAGGAGGTGGGTGGCTCGCACACTCAATGGTCAACCTTGGCTCCTTCCTGTACCTCTCATCTGCCCTCCCTATCCTGGAAGGGATGCACCAGTCATCTGAATTCAGGTCCAGCTGGAGCTTACTCAGAGCAGGAGGACCCAATTCTGCTTTCCAGCCTGTTCTCTGCTGATTGCTTGGTGCCCGGCATGTAGAGGGCTACTCGAAAGTGGGCAAGAGGACTGATAGAAGGCACTGAGGAAGATGGAAAAGGAGGACTCTAACTTGTTCACTTAAACCCCGCTCCCCTGAGAGCTCCACATCAGCTATGGCAGGTGTTTCACTTTGGCTGCTCATTGGATCATTTGAAGTTGTAGATGCTGAGGCCCCAACTCTGACTAATCTGAGGGGAATGATGTGTGCCTGGACCACTATTTCTAGAGCATGCTAGGGATCCTGCTGCAGTGAAGACAGATAAACCCACACCTGAGCAAGGCACAGCAGTCTTCCCCATTAAGTCTTTGACCTTTCCACATCCACTCCTCAACTTCCCTGCCTTCTAGAACCAGCTGCAAGATGCTATAGATGGGTGTCCTCCCTCCATCACCTCTTTGGATGGACAACACCTCACTTGAGGACACAGATCAGATGCACCCTCCTTTGAGACAAAGACTCCCAATTCCCCAAAGTAGAGCTGCCCTCAGGATTCCCCAGCACTGCGCATGCAGGTGTGCAGCTCCCCAAGTGTGTTCCTTGGAACACTAGCTCCTAGGGTAATGGCTACAGGAAATGGGAAATGCTACACAATACATACCCCCCTGGAGATCCACAATGTACATTAGCTTATTAAAGGCTCTGAGAAGACCTGCAGTGAAAACAAAAGACAAAACAAGAACCTGCTGAGATTAATTTAACCCATTGCCTTACTTTTATTCGATACCAAACCCATTCTTCCCAAACCCAACATTTATGAATACACCCCCAGGAGGTGCTGCGATTTAAATTATCTCTAACCTGTACTAGTTTGTGAACTTGGAGGACGGGGTCACCTATATGGCAAGTTTGTAACATAAGTTTTTTTTTTTTTTTTAAGATTTATACAAGAACTGGGGTACAGGCCAGATGTGTGGGAGGGTGAGAGGATCCACCAGAGACAAAGAAGGGAACAGAACAGGCAGACTGACGAAACACTGCTGAGGGGAGCAGAGGGCGAGACAGGAGAGGTCTGTCGCGCCATGAGGGTATCTCCACAGCTGGCAGGGATTGAACTGGCACTGCAGAGGCTGTGGACAGCTTCACAGTGCTGCGTTCAATTGCCTGCACCACCAGGGAGGCCCTGAGCATGTATGTCTTGAACAAGTCACCGAATGCTTACTCTGGTCCCCCTTGTGATTTTTCACTAAAACAGTCCATTGGAGTTCAAAATATTCATTCAAACAAGGGATACTGAATTTCTGCTCTTCCTACAAGGACCAACTCTGGCCATGCAGGTGCTGGAACATAATTCCTGCTTGCCCCTGCAGCTATCACTGGTGTTTTAGTCTCCATCCATAAGTTGCTCAGGAACTGTACCATTCTGTGAATGGTGAAAATGAGCAGGATGCTATCACAGGAACTTAATTTCTTACTTGAATGAAAAGGCGCTAGTCAATGTATCACAAGACCTAGGGATGGCTATTCTAGACACTTCCTTTCCTGTCTTGTGGAAATCACTCAGGAGCCAGAGTGGAAACTCACTAGGACAACAATCTCTTAGAAAACTCGAGTACCCGTGTAGTCCAGCACTGACACATCTTCCTGTGTTTGTATGTATAACATCGCACAGGTGAGGGGAGGAACTGGCAGGGTTTCCTAAAAGCTAGAGGCTCATGATGACCACAGTTTGTGTAGCTTATCAGGAGTAAGTCTATTTGATCTTGTTAGAAAGTGTGGCTGTTACTCAGCTGCCTGTGTTTTTCTGATCAGGCTTTGCCTACAACAGATGTGTTATTGCTGCAAACACGCTCACATGACAACCCAATCCTGATTTTTTTTTGAAATTTCTTTTCCCTCGGAAAAAGGATTATGAGTCAAGGTCACTGAAGTGTGTGACGCAACTCTGCAAAATGCAGTGTTCAAGGACTGCAGTTTCTGGGGGAAGAAAGCAGACATGTGGTCTGATTTCACAGCTCAAACGTGTGAGCTGTCATCCTCTACCCTCAGGTTCTCCGTGGGTGAGAGAATTCCCTGCACCCACTCTCCTACCCACAGAGGGGGGTCTCCCCTTCCTGTTATTCATACACTCATGTACTTGCTCATGGATTCAATTGGTATTTATTGAGCTCTTTCTATGTCCCAGGCACTGTGCTGGAGGGTGGAATTCACCAAGATTTTCCCCTTCTCCAAACTCTAGTCAGGCTCCCCTAAGACCTCTTTTCAACAAAGGCCTCAATCTTAGCCTGCAAAGATAAACACTGTTTCACTAACATCTCCTCCTTGGGATGACCCTAGCTCCCCACTCCTCAAGTGCTGCCTAGAAAGACTCAGGCTGCCAGAGAAATATCCTGTTCCAGCTGATACCTGAAGATCAGATCCCAGTCTCCCCGTGTCGGAGAGTAGTTTTGCCAGCTAACAAACCCAGATGCGTTCAGTGAACCAACCCACCTTCCTGCTTTGTGATGTTCTCCAACTTTTTGGCGCCTGGACCATTCCCTCACCCGGCCCTTGTTCTTTAAAGGCCTGGTTTCCTCTGCATTAGAGAGCTCAGCTCCTTCCCCCGCTGTCACTGAATCAAAACCAGTTTTGCCACTGATGTTCCTCTGTTTCTTTGAAGAAAGCTTCTACCCTGTGGGATTTACATTTCATTGGGAGACAATGCAAGTAAGTGAGGTGATGAGCCAAGGTGTGCAGGGCCATCTTTGAGATGTTTCAGCCCAATCTTCACAAGACCATGAACAAGCCAGGCTTTTAAAGCCGAGGGCACTTCGGCCAGAGGGTACACAAGGAAGGATGGAGTCACAAGAATGGAGGGAGCAGAGTGGGTAGGAACATACCCCATATGGCCTTATAGCCTTGGTACATCTGAATTTGAAGTTTTCCTTTATTTCTACTGCCCCTTGCCAGGGTCATGCTGGGGAGCAAAAGCAAGAAACTGGGTGGAATAAGAAAGTTTGAACCAAGAATTAGGTAGAAATAAAGCAAGAGATTACTACAAATCTGTTCCTCAGGATCATTTGTGGCTGGGAGAGGTTGGAGGCAAGGCAGAGACTGAGAAGGTTGAATTCTTTGACAAAGCCGGTTATGGCTACTGCTCTTAGAAAGACATGGCCGTGGCTGGTTTAGGGCAATTTTAGGGTGGTGGGGCAAAGGAAGCCGGCTGGGGGTTGTGACCACATGTCCTTCTGTTCCTCCTACCCACATGCTCAATTGCTTGCAAGGTTTGATTGGTCTTCCACGTCCTCAGAGCTGCGGGCAGTTCTAGGAGGCAAGGGATGCAGAGACATCATTGTGCCTTCCTTGCAGGAGGTGTCAGAGAGTGACTGGAAGGTAGGCAGGATGGATGTGGAATGTTTGGGGGTGAAGAATAACTCCCAGCATATTTCAGGAATGGCTACCAGCTCTTTCTAACATACAAAAACTTGCTTCTATCTTTATAGCCCCTTGTCTGGAGAACTGGGCACAGTGCTGACACAAGTATTTTTTTCTCCTTGTTGGTGCAGCAGGTTGAGCATAGCACTGTGAAGCTGTCCACAGCCTTTGCAGCACGGGTTCAATCCTGGCCGGCAAGATACCTACGTGGTGCAGCAGACCTCTCCTGTCTCACCTGCTGCTCCCCTCAGCAGTGTTTTGTCAGTCTGCCTGTTCTGTTCCCCACTCTGTCTCAGGTGAATCCTCTCACCCTCCCACACATCTGGCCTGTACCCCAGTTCTTGTATGCAAAAATCTTAAAAAAAAAATCACCAAAATAAGAACATTCTAGGACCAGCATATGCTGGAAGAAATAGGCAAGTCACTTCCTTGCAGCATAGATTTTATGAAAATGCTATGTCTCCCATGTTGGTGCTCACACAGGTGGCTAGGTTGGGCCCTGAAGAGAATCCAGGAAAACCAGGATGAGAAAGCAGGGCTAAGAGAGTGCACTGCTCGTTTTATCAGAGCTGAGGGGCCAAGTCAGCCTTTGCCGAGCATCTGCTGAGAGCTGGCATTAGTCCCTGCATGGATGCTGCTTGTTGGCCATGTTGAGTGCAATTTGGACAACACCATCAAGTGATGACTCAGGAAAGGGGCTGTCACGCTCCAGTGATGCTTTGGCATCAAGTCAGGAATCTGATTGCAATGCGCCTGCTCGGAATGTGCACCATGCTGGTGAATCACACACTAACCCCTGCAGGTGAGTGTTAGGCTGCCAGCATCCACTGCAGCAGAGTAGACCACCGACCCCCACCTCCCCTGGTGCCTCCGTCTGTCAGTGGAGATCTCCTGCACAGTGCTGCCTTCAAAGTGCCCACACAACACCCTATGTTAGTAAGTGCAAAATAGCAGACTTTGCTCAAAGTCTTATTTTCCCAGACAGAACATTAAAACCAGTAGGATGTCCTGATTTGCTCAAACACCAAGGAAGGGAGAAAAGCATCAGCAATAGATTTAAAATGGGTAGCAAATATAGTAAAACCATTGTCCTATAAGCACAAACCTAAAATTCAGCAGGTATTCAAATGCTGATGCCATTGATGGTGACAAAGCATTGGATAGCTTTAGAATCAACCCCCTTCTGTGGAGATTTGAAAATTCCTCATGTCTTAGGAATATTTCCTTCTGAGCACCATGCTCCCTGGCTATTCTACAAAGCAGTGGCCCCCAACACGGGGTGCTCAGCTTTAAGACAGAAGCCACCCCAGTGCCCCTCGAGTGGGGATCCCCACAGGCTTCTACATTCTGCCAAGTTGGGGGCAGGTTCCTTCCACTTCAGGAAGTAATAATGGCTCAGGTGTAATGTAAGCTACTGGTTGAATTAGAAGTTTCAGAATGTGATTTAAAGTTATAGTTGAACGTATTTTAGTCCCACACATCACCAATGTCTACTGACCATATTCGCTTTGACCTCCAAGCATCACCTGTCCACATTCCCTGAGTCTTTTAAGTGTTGGAAAACATAGCTGGTGACATTCCAATAGATTATCACAGAGGCAGGACTGACTATGGGGGCACTAGCTTAGCTGAGCTTAGAGCTTGGGGTGAGACCTGTGTCACCAAAGGGGCTCTGGATGGGGGAGAGTAAAGATTGAGAGGAAAAGCAGGTTTTTTAGATTTCGGTGATGTGGTCGTCACTTGCTTCCTGCCGCAGGGCTGCTCTTGTGGCTGTGAGGCAGGAGTTGTGCCACGCCCATTTTAGTTTTCTAGATGCTTCTCAGACTGTAAAACATACCCCCCAAAATCTCTTGTAATGCAGTAGGTTTGTCTGGGCTGGTTCCTGTGATATGGCTCTAACAAGCTTCCAGGCAATAAAGCTGCGTGAGGCCCATATGTTGAATAGCACCGACTATCATATCTAGAGCAACAGGGACTATGGTATTTAGAGCAGTGTCTTGCATATGGTCACTTTAAACAGATACTATTGTCCTTATTCTTTGTCCCTCAGTCCTCTGAGGAACAAGTGCAGAGCCCCCAGTAGTCATGAACTAGCCTGAGGGTCATCCTGGCCTTTTACCTGCAATGAGTTCCCTCTAGATGCCAAACTGCATTGAACACTATGGATGCTCTGATGAAAGGACTAAGTGCTGGGCCTGAGACTTAGAAGAGTAACACACCCTGCCCACGGGAGCTTCATCATTTTATTTTCTCCATCAGTGCTAAAAATTAAGGTTCTGGGACTGAGCCTGCATAAGCTCAGTATATGCTCTATTAAAGAAGCCACAGTGTATTGTAGACTTTATAAAGCATGCAAAATAGCTTGAATACGTAAAACCACCGTAAGATCCTGTTTCCCATGAAAAGATTATAATTTGAGTGATTGCAATAAGGAACAACCGTGGTTCACAAATGATCCAACTAAGAAACGACACGTGCATTTAATTTTAAATACTGTCCCATGATAGCAGAAAATGAGCAAAAATAGCTTTTAAACATTAGCTTTCTATAACATCTAACAGGCTAGAAATTAATGTAGATTTAAACAAGTGTCCTTGTTGTAGCTGATCTCTACTGTAGTCAATGAATGTAGATTGAAAAATTTAAAAGTGCAGACCATTTTGCCTGTGTCCAGCACGCGGCGGGTAAAGGAGTGCTGTTAAGTAAATGATCAGTGGGCGAAGGCATGAGTAGCGCATTCTCGTGACTTTGTGAGTCCCTCACAATGAGATCTTGCAATATAAGAGAAAGAAGTTCATATGGTCACACTCATAATAGACCCACACTGTGTGGCTAGTCCTCATGTGACTAGAGGGTCAACTTTGGATACAGGCATTGCTGACAGAGCTGCCAGTGATCCAGCCAAAGAGGTCAGCAAGACTAACTGTTCTTCCTGAGCGTGTAAGTCTGACTGGCCATGCGTTCATGAATGTGCTCACATTGAAGACTCATGCCACGTCAAGTCCTGGAAACCCATATGGTACAATGGAAAATGAGTCCTATTTAAAAAATTAGAATATTTGGAATATACATGTGAACATTTCAGTACTATTTTCTAAGAGAATTGTTTTAAAAATACAAAGGCTTTAAGATTTACGTATACTAGAACTGGGGTACAGGGCACAGGTGCAGGGGCAAAAGGATTCACCAGAGAGGGGAGCAAAACAGGCTGATCTACTGAAATACACTGTTGGAGCAGCTGGGCGAGTAGTCAGGAGAGGTCTGCTGTGCTATGAGGGTTAGCTCCCTGGCCTGGGATGGAACTCATGTTGCAGTGTCAAAGACATAATCAGATTGATTATAAAGACATTTGCATTGCTTTTAAAAAAAAAGAAATTGGGAACAATTTGGAAATTCAAAGGGTTAAAATCACTAATATAAAAGGTTGTAAATACAGAAACAAGGACCAAGAATCTTATAGAAAAAGGGTTTAAGTAGTTTATAAAGAAATGCACAGAGCATGGCAACTAGTTAGCATCACTGTGAAAGTTGATTAAGTTCTCATCACAAGAGAAAACGGAGGGGAGGACACTGAACTCACTGTGGTAATCATTCAGTATACATGCAGCAAATTGCAATGTTACATACATGTAAACTTCAATAAAATGACTGATAAATATATATATCAATAAAACTCCAGAAGTGCATTGATTTTTAACCATAAGCTCAACTTCAAAAGAAATATAAAGCTGTACTCTTTCTCCTTTATCAAATTTATAAAAAAAATCCAGAAGTGACAATATATTACAAAACTGTAGGGAAATAGACACCAGTCACTGCTGGTGAGGCTATAAACTGATACGCAGTCCCTACAAAGGGGAATTTGGTATTATCTGCAAGATGACAGATACATTTATCTTTGCTCCAATAATCCAACTTCCAGCAAATCAATCCCAAATGATATATCAAGATATTTGTGCACATTACTGATAGCACCTTTTTATGGTGGTAAAAACTGGAAAGAACAGTGTTTACTAGTAGGGGACAAAGATCAAGCCAGGACACAATCATGCAAGTCCCAAGCAGCTGGAGAAAGCAATGAGCACTCCTAGTGCATGGACAGGATCTGAGTGGTTTCTCACACAAAAAGTGGGCTCCTGAAAAAAGCAGTCAATTGAGTCTGGAGCAGTAAATGTGCAAGATGATTCCAGAACATGTTGTCAAACTAGAGCCATCAAGGGGTCAGGTCAAAAGATCCTGCTAGCCAAAGACAGGGCACTTGGAAGATACTATAATGAATACTATCACAAAGATGTTTGAATCCATGCGTTTTATAAGATACTTGGGGAAAGAGTTACTGGTTACCTTTGGAGAAAGTCAATTTGCTTCTAAGATTGATAAAAGGGACTTCAATTTTCCAGTGAGTAAAATAGTCTTGCATCTGATGAATTAATTTAGCCAGTTCATTAAAGGATGCTAACAAATATGCAGCAATTCCACTCCTAAGTATTTACCCAAAGGACACAAACATCAATTCCAGAGAGCACCTGCACCCCTATGTTTATAGCAGCACTGTTTACAATAGCTAAGCTTTGGAAACAACCCAAATGCCCAAAAATAGATGACTGGATCAAGAAGATGTGGTACATATACACCATGGAATATTACTCAGCATTCAAAAAAGATAAACACATGCAATTTGCAGCAACATGGATGGCGCTGGAAGGGATCATGCTCAGCAAAATAAGCCAAAAAGAAAAAGAAAAATACCGGATGGTCTCACTCATAGCAGGAATCTAGAAAACTTAAATAAGGGACCAGGAAAATGAATAACTATAAGTGAAAAATCAAAATCAACAAAAAACTATGAACCAGAGACACTTTTAGGGGGGCAGGGGCAGGAGGGGAGGGATTGGGGTCAGAATGGGGGGGCTGCAATTGTATGGGGAATATAACAATAAAATTTATAAAAAAAAAATATGTAGCTTGTGATGAATTATTCTGGAGGGCGGGAAGAAAAACTCAGACAAGAATCCGACCTAGAATTTATATTACTACATCTACTTATCAATTTATAGGAAACAGGATGAGGTAATAGGTCAAATGACTCCATAGATGCAATCAGCAGAAACCAGACTGTGGAACGCTCAAGACACTTTCATCAATTGCCAAGGGGCAAAAAATTAAAAATACTTTAAAATGGAGGGACACCCAGATGAAGACACTGAAGTCATAACTAATTGCAGCCTATGGATCTTATTTTAGATTCTGATTCAAACAGAAAAAAAAAAGGACTCATGAGATAATTTGGGGAATGTGAATACTAGATAATTTCTAGTATGATAAGGTTTTTGAAAAAGGCTTATTTTTATAAATATACATATTTATAAATAGATCAAAAGAAATATCTGGAATTTTCTTTAAAGCAATCTGAAGGAGAAAGAGTGGACTAGAGATGAAACAAGATTGGTTATGAGTTAATTGAAGCTGATAATGAATACATGGTAGCATATTCAGTTTTTTCCTCTTTGTAAGTGTTCCATTTTCCATAATAAAATGTAAACATTTTTTAAATTGATAGTCTGATACTGCCCTCCTTTGCTTGGGTATGTGATTTCTGGATCAAATTCTATTCTAATCTCTAGAACCAACTTAAACCCCCTCAGAATGCCCTTCCTGACCACTTTGGCCTAAAGAACTTACTCTGAACTTATCTGTCAAGGAATTACACCTGAGTCAGGCTTTACTTTGCTGTTATTTCTCTCCAGTCTATTTAGATGCACCATTACTTTACTTGCTGCATGTGGTTCATTTTACTCCGAAAGTCTGAAACTTACATTTGCAGAAGGTGGTAGATGGACTAAAGAGGTGAATAAAATCCCGAGGACTAGGACTTTGAATAGACAGCAATCTGATAACTCCAAATGACACCCATGAGTTCTAATCAGGTGTCGGAGTAACAAGGGTTGTGTCACATGTGTGCAGATGAACGTGTGCGCAGACGCGTTCTGAAGTCCTGGTGGGACATGCCTCTTCCTTGAGTGGCTAACGAGGTCCCTGATCAGTGCCCTCAGCTACACTATGCAAAAGTGGAGATCTAGGCAGCCATCCTTCTGTTTCATTCAACTCTAGATTCGTGCCCAAGGAAACAGCACTGGATGCACTGACTCCTAGATCCCACAGGCGTCCTGCAGCTCTTGAGTGCAGAAATAGCTGCCTCCTTTTATAAAGGAGGGAAGTCAGAAGAGGACTCACTGTGGTCCCCAAAGGCCAGGTCTACACCAAGTAGACCTCAGACTCCTTTCTCCACCACCCCCTCACTACTCACTTTCTAGAGGCTGACAGGGGCTTAAGAGCATCTCATGGAAATCAAGCATGAACATTTCTAGGATAGAGCCATCTGTGTACCCCTGATGAATCACTGAAATCCTCCTGCAGTGAATTGAAATGACAATTCAAGGTCACAGAACTTAAGAGTCAGGGAAAGAATCTTTCACTATTCATTCTATGAAGTATCCCGAGTTCTACTGCAGCCATCAAGGAAGCTTGTGCAATCATCTCAGCTATCTGGCATGCTTCATTCTGCTCCATGCCCCTCTACTTCCTTTATTCTCTTCTTCAATTGAGTTATGAAGTTATTTTTAATAATTGGTGACTATTTGAGAGTTAATGTCATGCCCTTGGGCTCGTAAAAACTTGGATGTGCTTCAACTCAGTGATGAAAAGCCAGCCTGGAATTTAGTGAAGGGATTTTCTGAACATTTAAGTTAAGCCTGCTTGTCCCAAGAGTGAAGGTTTGATTTTTAAGACAATGTCTTTCTATGCCTTAGTTTTAAAATGCTTTCACGTATCATCTGGCAGTTTCACTGAGTTCACTGAGTGGGAATCAAGGTTATGATCCTTCTGCTTGACAAAACATTTGCCAAGAACTCTTCTATTCACTGAAACCATTGCTCTTATCCTGCCCAACTCAGGTCTGCAGCCACAGGTGAGGCAGTTCACAGGCAGTGGTCCAGCCAAGGGGCGTGGGGCCAGAAATCTGGGGATACAAGTTCTCACCAGTGAGCCACCGCACACATCTCTGGGCATTAGGACATGGCGGCCCGACTGTGATAAGTTCTAAGTTTATGGAGAAAAAAATCAGTGGTTGCCATGGGCTAGAGGGAGGAATAGGTGGAGCACAGCATTTTTAGGGAAGTAAAAACGATGGTTGGTCCGATACCATAAGGGGAGGAACTCATGTCATTAAGAGGATCCTAATGCTAACTACAGACTCTGGCTGATCAGGAGCTGGGCTGAAAGTGCCACCCTGTAGTATCTGTTTTAATCTAAAGCTTTAGGAGATGAAGACTCAAAAATCAACATTCCAAGACTCTGGGTGATTATGATGTCAATGTTGATTCAGTTGTAACCAACGTACTAAACCTAGTGAGGATCTTGATAGTGGGGGAGGTTGTGCAGGAGAGGGGCTGTGCATCTGAAGCTACAGAGACCTGCTCTCAAGAAAACAATAGAAGTTGCTTTCACAGGATTTCTGTGACATTCAATGACATGACACTGGTTGAAAATTGCCAAGCATGTGTGATGCTGTGCGGTGTAATATGATTACCTGCCATTGGCTGGCAGTGCCAGAGGTAGAGACTTGGGTGCTGGCCCTTCTACCTAAGCCTCAGTCCTTTGGGAGAAGCAGCGTATCCCAGCGCAGTGGGAATCACCACTGGACAAAGGTGCAATCCAGTGACAACTGCCTTCAGAGGCCACACTTGGGGAGTAGTGCTCTTGAAGTATCAATACTCTAACATTTTTGGGTTTTTTAATTTTTTTTTTTTAAAGATTTATACAAGAGCTGGGGTATAGGCCAGAGGCGTGGGAGGGTGAGAGGATTCACCAGAAGACAGAGTGGGGAGAACAGGCAGATGGACTGAAAGCACTGCTGAGGGGAGCAGTGGGCAAGACAGGAGAGGTCTGCTGCGCCATGTGGGAATCTCCCTGGCCGGCCACGAATCGAACCCGTGCTGCAGAGGCTGCGGACAGCTTCACAGCTCTGCATTCAACCCTCTGCGCTACTAGGGAGGCCCCTATTTTGGGAAATTTCTTTTTGGAATAAGCCCCAGTATTATTACTTTCTAGGTATACGATTCCTAGAAAGGGTTAGAAGTTTGGAGACTATGGGTGCCCCCAATGAGGTGACCTATAAGGCAACCGGAGGTAGTTTTCTTGCCTGGTTGTAAGAAGTTTGAGAAACCATAACCTGCATGACCTTATGACTTGAATAGAAAACTACCAAACTGACGTCACACACACTCTTGAATGTCATCTGTTACTACGACCTGGGCTGGCAGTGTTACTTTAGTGTTCGCTTTAACTCAAAACAGGCAACAAACTGAAGTCAACATTCTAAGAATTCTCCAGAGACAAAATTCCAGTATATAGCCACTGAGATGTGGGGAAAAAATCTAATTTGGTACCCCTGGGGTGGTCAGAGTTTAGAGAACCTTAGAACCAGGAGAAACTTTTAAAGCAGGTTCCAGGTCTCTGTTTGCAAGTGTTCCAGTTTAGTATGTCTGTGGGGAGGCCCAGGGATTTGGATTTTTCACTCAGATCAAGCCAGGGTGGTTCGTGTCAGAAGGCAGCCTCCCGGGCTCCCTTCCAGGTGGGGTGCTCTCCTCGGGAGCTGCCAGAGTGCACTGGGGGCGGAAGTGTGTCCAGGAGGTTTGAATGCAGATGCTTGTGTTTTCTTAGATGGTAGAATCTGGGAGGGCCTGAAGGATCAGCTTACTCTGCATTTAGGGCTGAGAGGGATGAGGGGTGCTCAGTTTTACAAAATTTATCCCTTCTTGGAAATTGTTTTCCATATAGAACAGTAGAATCCAGTCACATGAAAAGGTGGGCCGGTTTCCTGATCTTAAAGATTAGCTACCTCCACACTTGTGATCTCTAGCAATCAACAACTGCTGAGGTTTCCCCGCCCCGGCAAAGATTGCAGAACCACCTGCAGTATGAAGCAGAAGTGTGGATACAGTCTTCAGAGCCTCTTGGCAGAAATGTGTTTCACACAGAGCTCCAGCATATGGCTCAGGAAGGAAACACATTGATGTTCCAGAAAGGAGCATGCTCTGCTTTCCGATCCCCTGCAACCTCTCTGGCAGAAAACGCTTGGCGCTGCACTGGAAGTGGAGAGATGTGTGTGTCTGAATACTAGGTCCCATCCTGCGTGCCTGGACTCCCAACCTGGCCCTGATCCTTCAGATTGAGCTGACGGTCCTTCTGCACCCACCCTGGCTGTGCTGGCATCTCTAGGCTCTGAGACCCACTCCCTGCTTAGCCACCCAGCTCCCCTCTGTCCTCTGCATAAGATTCAGTTCTTGGCCATGAGCTTTTGTGGTCCAGAGACAGCCTTTCAGACCCACTGGCTTATCCAGACTCCTAGTCTAGCCAGTTGGTGTCAAGTCACTCTCTTCCACGTCAGAGGAAGACACTGGGCTTGCAGCTCTAACTTTTTTTTTAAACCAAGGAGGAAAGACCTGGTCCTTCTTGCCTGCTGTACAGAAACAATGTGGTATTTACGAAAAAGAACTGCTTCTCATCATGTTCAGAAGGACAGTTTTTGATCAAAAAGGAAATTTTCTCAGGGCAGATACTAACAGCTTTATGAGAGATTTGGATAACATACACGAAGTTGAGGCATTTAAATGAGAAAGCTTATTGGACAGGGTAACTATGGTGACATCTCCCCTCAAGACAAATTGTTTTTGAGCTTGAGAACTTGGAAATTCACAGCTCTCAACCAAATACTAGATGGGAAAAGCAGCAAAATTCACCTAGACTACAGTGTCTCAGATAAGATGCCTCCATCTCCCTTCTGTCTCCATTAAGACCGAAATCTTTGTGGGATGAGGGTCTCGGTCCTCTCTTCCCCTTATCTGGTCAGCATTCCCTGTCAGTCAAAGCTTTTCTGTCGGGGTTAGGCGAGTGTTTGTTCTTGGGGGCGAGGGGCGAGTGTTGGGGCTACTCTGAATCAGGTCTACGTAATAGACTGCAGTTTGGTATAAACAGAAACTTTATATGCACTGAGGAACTAAGAGCTTCAGCAACTGGCTTTACTGGCACCATCGGGCATCTCACTGATGACATTTCATACATACAAACATTTGCCAAGGTCACCCATTCATGGGGGGAACTCAACAGCTTCCTACTCATGTGTATTTCAGGTTTTCTCCAGCGGAGATGTCTGGCTGGACATACGTGGGTGCTCCCACATGTGTGGTGGACAGGAATTGGTTTCAGCATCTGGAGGTTTGTGCCCTCATGCAGGTCACCGACTTCTGAGTCTTGGGTTGCTGACAGTGCAACATGGGGGTTCTAATCCCCTTTCAGATTGGGGTCATTCGATAAGATGGTGTGTGCTACACCCAATAGCACTGCAGGTGCTAAGTAGCAGCAATTATAATCACTAGGCATCTAGAATGGGCAAGACTGGCCAGGATTTCAATCCACGGATACAAGCAAGTTGTAATAAATGAACAGAAGAACAGGGAACGGGGTGGAGACAGGGAAGGCTATGGACTTGGACTCCATAGCCTTGCAACCTCATTAGGGACTGTATGCTTGCCTATGGCATGGGCAGGGAGTGATCACCCCCTCCCCTTATTGTTCTCACACCTTTGCTGGACATGCTGCAAGATGGCATAGTCAGTGGCCACACAGGCTGCCTGTTCAGGGACCAGGTTCTCCTGTGGCACTCAGTCAACAAACCCAGGCTATCCATGTAGAGGTGCCCATGTTGTGCGTGGGGTACACCACAGTGAGGATGAGTGGGCTCAATGCCTCACCCAGGCTCTGCCAGCCAAGCCAACCCCTGGCACAGGTCTGGAAGAGAGCTCCCATTGTAACTACCAAAAAGGCCCTTGGCTGCTTTGCTAGCTGCTAGCAGCAGCTTGAGAACAGAGCTAAGCCTTCAGCACTCGTGGGGCATCAGTCCTTCTCACTCTTAGATCTAATGGATTTATTGGGGAGAAATAAGCCACCTACAGAATCTGACTTCAGGCTGACCTCCCCCACCTCCCACCCAGGGTCCCAATGGCCTGGGGGCCCATGATCAGCATGACCTGTGGTCAAGACACAATATATTAAAATCCCACATTTTATTCTAAATGTTCAAGGATTTTGCATTCTAATTCTTATGACTGCTTTTGTGTTGTAATAGTTAATCCTCCCTGGATCTGACACTTTTACCCAGCAACTGAAATGCTGCACTCTCATGATAAATACTTGAGAGGATAAGGAGTTGCTTCTCATGGATGAGCAAAGAAAAGTGGTTTGAAATGCCAACTACTCCTGGTGAAGGTGCTGTGAATGGATATGACAAAGCATTTCTAATATTACAGACAACTGATCAAGCATTGCAGGTTTGAGTGGGCCAATTCCAATTTTGAAAAG